TAGTCTGTGTGTTTGTCCGTTTCATACATAACAAATCTTTGTCGCAGTTTTCTCATTAGCTATTCATAGCGGATGCTTGAAATTTTATTACACTCTTTGTTGAGGCATGCTATTATGGTGGGATTAATTTTGATATGAATCTGATGTCAACTTCATATTTTTCTGTGCATCTGCCTGTAATTGAACTTGTGTATATTAACATGATAGTGCTTATTTACATCAGAGCGGGGGTATTACTAGTGAGCATTGGCTCACAGATATATTGTTCGCTCTCTTGTGAATAGATTCTGCAGAATTTATATTTTGTTTGAAAATTTCGTGAGTTACATTGTAATCTAATATGTTATTCCTAAGAGTTTGATGAGAAAGTTTCCCCTTATGACTACCTACAGACTCCAGACAATGTCATGTTTTATTCCTCAGAGTTTGCTGAGAGAGGTTCCCTGTATGACTACCTACAGACTCCTGACAATGTCATGTTTTATTCCTCAGAGTTTGCTGAGAGAGGTTCTCTGTATGACTATCTACAGACTCCTGACAATGTCATGTTTTATTTCTCAGAGTTTGCTGAGAGAGGTTCCCTGTATGACTATCTACAGACTCCTGACAATGTCATGTTTTATTCCTCAGAGTTTGCTGAGAGAGGTTCCCTGTATGACTACCTACAGACTCCAGACAATGTCATGTTTTATTCCTCAGAGTTTGCTGAGAGAGGTTCCCTGTATGACTACCTACAGACTCCTGACTTTGTCATGTTTTATTCCTCAGAGTTTGCTGAGAGAGGTTCCCTGTATGACTACCTACAGACTCCAGACAATGTCATGTTTTATTCCTCAGAGTTTGCTGAGAGGTTCCCTGTATGACTACCTACAGACTCCTGACAATGTCATGTGTTATTCCTCAGAGTTTGCTGAGAGAGGTTCCCTGTATGACTACCTACAGACTCCTGACAATGTCATGTTTTATTTCTCAGAGTTTGCTGAGAGAGGTTCTCTGTATGACTACCTACAGACACCTGACAATGTCATGTTTTATTCCTCAGAGTTTGCTGAGAGAGGTTCCCTGTATGACTACCTACAGACCCCAGACAATTTCATGTTTTATTCCTCAGAGTTTGCTGAGAGAGGTTCCCTGTATGACTACCTACAGACTCCAGACACTGTCATGTGTTATTCCTCAGAGTTTGCTGAGAGAGGTTCCCTGTATGACTACCTACAGACTCCTGACAATGTCATGTTTTATTCCTCAGAGTTTGCTGATAGAGGTTCCCTGTATGACTACCTACAGACTCCTGACAATGTCATGTTTTATTCCTCAGAGTTTGCTGAGAGAGGTTCCCTGTATGACTACCTACAGACTCCTGACAATGTCATGTTTTATTTCTCAGAGTTTGATTAAATTCTAATCGTGATTTAAACGCAAGCATCTAAGTGAGTTGTACTAAGGTATTTCAATATTTGACATTCCAATACCATTTATTTTTTTTAACTAAATGAACATAAAGTATGGCTGTAAATCAAAATTTAAAATTCCATTTTCAATAACTTTAAAGTAAATCATCCATATGTGATTGCCAGATTGAAATACTGCATAAACATTATACTGTATTAGACACACGTATACACAATAATGTACTAGTCTGACAGAAACATTCCCTAGAATTTCTTGAATTTCAACGACTTCCTCTTCATGATCAAATATGAGATTTTAAACAGGTACAGTACCGACCAGACCCAACCTGACACCAAGCAGTCCCAGAAAGCAGTCCCCGGGACTGCTTTGGGACCGCTCTGGGACTGCTCTGGGACCGCTGTGGGACTGCTCTGGGACCGCTGTGGGACTGCTCTGGGACTGCTATGAATAGCAGTCCCAGCAGTCCCAGCTACCCCTGGGACTGCTTTCTGGGACTGCTTTGTTCACTCATGTGTGAAAAAGGTTCTGAGTGACATGATAGCTCCGCCCCCTTGTGTATCCTGAATTTGCAGGCTCATTGTTGTTTTGTTTACTTGCAGCAGAGAGGAGTTTAAACTGTTTAATAAGCAAGGATTTCTTACATTCTTTTAATGAGTAGAGATTATTATAGTTAATTGATATTTTCAAGGACTGTATATTTACACAAATTAATGTGTATTTAGAATAAATTTTAAAAAAAATAAAGTTGATAAATAAGGAATTCTTGAGAAAGTTTTAATCCCTATAAATAAACTACAAGTTTATGAGAAAAAAATAGCTACATGTGGGCCTTTTTTAATTATTTAATGTTAAATTTTAATATATACTCAAAATTTGCATTGGTACTAATTATAAAAATAATCATTACAGTTAGCATGGTTAGATATAAGATGTTTTTTTTATTAAAAATGCTACTCATTTTATAAGGACCACACTAAAAAAAAGAGTATTCTGTGTAACCCTCAAATAAAACCCGACAATTTATTAAATGACCATGAAATAAAATTATGCTACAATTTTCCCATAACATAAACCATGTGAATAATCATTGGGGGAATTAATGAATTACTGGTAGCTTTTAATAAATAAACAAGTTTTTAAAAGAGTACATGCATCTTTATTTATTTTTAAAAAATGAAAATACCGGGAATTGATTAATTTCTTTTTTGTTTTGCTAGACAGTGTTTACCTGGCCGATTAATGTTTATAAGATGGTATCAACACCCACTGTTTCAATCGCCTTTGGGCAGAAAAATCGATACATGTTATTTGGGTATTTGTATCAGTGTTACACATCATTGAACATGCTGGTAAACAATGACCCTAATTTCAATTTCTTAAATGCGAAAAAAAAGTGATAAATGAAATGAGTTTAAATTTCTTTCGGGATTAATTGATTTTGAATATAATCTAAAGCTTCAATTCTGGTGATTTACAGATGTACACTATAATATTTACAAATAAAACACTTAAAACTGAGTTTTATAGAACTAGATTTTAACGATTATTAAATTGGCATGTCAGAGAAAATAATGACTGAAAAATAATACTTGGCAAAATTAACAAAGAATATGTTTACAAGCCCCAATGCTTAAGAAAACTCTAACTTAGTATCCCGATAGTCTAAATTGGCCATATAATGATAAGATCTATTAAGATCTAAAGCTCCTTCTGGTGGAAAATATTTAATTCACGTTTAATTTTCTGTATAAAAAATAAATATGGGAACCCGTATCAATCACAAGAGAATTATTAATATACCCAAGAATTGTGATTAAATACTCATGTTCAGTGTAATTCATATATGTACATGTAAGTGTGAAGCCTTCTTCCTCCAATAAATATGATTAATAATTATTTCATTTTTCATGCGCGTACATGTTCTGTTCATAAATGTCCTTTGTGTACATGTAAGGATTCCTGGCATACTACCCAGAATCAATTTCTACTGCCTTTTATAGTTCCATTGTTTATTGGAAATCTCATTTCTGAGTTAGCTCCGCCCATTAAATTAATAAACCCCGCCCACTGGGACTGCTGGGACTGCTTTCTGGGACTGCTGGGACTGCACTCTGGGACCGCTGGGACTGCTGGGACTGCTGGGACCGCTCTGGGACTGCTGTGGGACTGCTCTGGGACCGCTGTGGGACTGCTATAGCAGTCCCAGAAAGCAGTCCCCGGGACCGCTCTGGGACTGCTTTGTGTCAGGTTGGGTCTGGTCGGTACTGTATAGCCATTATCTCTATTTTGAAATATGCTGGTAGCTGTGTGTGCTCTGTTGCTTTATTCTGTTAATTTGAACATTGCATCGATTCGTATTGTGTCAAAACAAATTTACATTTTTTGACAAAAAAATCTGCACAGATTTTTATAATGTGTAAAATAACTTAATATTTCCAAATTTCTCTGTAAGCAAAATGACTCATATTCGAACTATAGTAAGGACAATTTTTTCACTGAACTTTGCGATTTTACCCCCATAATATACAAGAATTAAGATTTGAGAAGTACTTCTTAAAAGCAGTGACACATTTTATGAATAAATTCTATATTTATGTTTAATATTCTTAGAATATTATGTTGTAACACCGAAGAAGAAAAGTAACTTGTATTAAGAGGCCACCTGTTATATATACAATTGAACACTTTTCCTTCTCCGTTAGTGTCTCTTAACAAAGGATTGACTAAAAGATATTTTTAGACTTCAAAGAGACTAATTAAATTCTTTTCAAAATATACAGTGAATAGAATTTTATAAGAATTTCTCCATTACACAATTTGATAACATATATTAAAAAAAGATCCTAATTTCCGAAATACTGCTTCTGGGAGTAGAAATTTTCAAAAAGAAAATAAATGGAAGATGACTCAGTGCTTATTATGTTGTCTACAACTATCGCAACAGTACAACAACCTGATGTTTAGGAGAAAAGATTATTTTGAAAGATTGTACACATGTAATTATTTTGATGGTTTTCGCGCCATTGACAATTAAGTTCTCGGTTTTTGTTCACCTTTACTCAGAAACTTAAAATCAATGAAGTAGGTTCTGTGCTTCCAGAGAAGAGGCTGTCAATGTTCTAATGTTAACGGATGATGACGGACAAAAACAAATATGAAGGTCACATGAAAGACTCAGGCAACGTAACAAATGGCTGCTGTACTCATCACCTTCATTTACAGACATATTATTTCATCATTATTTGCAAAATACAAGTAAATATCTAAACAAAAATCCTAAAAACATTGTTTAATATGTTGATCATTTATCGATAATGATAAATGATAATTTCTAACTGAGTAAAAGCACAATTTATTACAATATGTAAATATGTAGATAATAAAATCCAGGGATAAGTAAAATGTAAAGTACCACTTTATAGTAAGAAATGGTATTTCACATAATTTTATTATATGAATATCTTGTTTGTCAACAAAAATCAACACTATAAAATATTGCACAATTTTTACAATAAATGTGACTAAATATCACCATAAAGACACTGTTTTTTCTCATAGAAATATTTGTTGTTGTCACGTTTATATTGTAAATTTTAATATCCATTCAGTTATATTTCACTTATCCTTCTCTTCAAAACATCAGTACTGAGTCTTAATATGGCCTGAAAAGAAATGAGACAATTCCTATATAAAGTATAACATTGGTTTTGTTGACCAATTTTATAAATAGAGACTTATTTTTATTTGAATTAAATAAAGACATTAAACAACTCAGTTTATTCTAAAAAAAAGTGTCTTTTATTACGAAACTACTTTTTGAAGATAAACAGAAAAAAATGGCATAAATGAGAAAAAAGTTGCAACTAAAAATGCAAATAATTATACATATATGTAAATACAGAAAAGTTTGCTTTAAAAAGATATATTTTTGTTCTTTTGAAATTTGTAATTGTTAATTTTGTACGTATAATCTGATATGCATTATTTTCTACTAAGAGATGTATGCTCTAAATAAAGGATTGTTTTTCCCTAGAATTTTTGCATTCTTTCTCTACAAAAAAAAAAAATAAATTTGCGCTGGCTATTTTCTTCTGAGAAATTTTTGGTAAAAAAATTATTTCTTATTTTAGATATGAAAATGTTTTACTTTAACTCTAATCGTTAATGAATGCCCAATCCTACCAAATAAGAACAAATAAACGTTTACTGTCGAGAAATGATCCACAACTAAATTGTCTCATTTGAAATTTACCCTTTCCTGGAAAGCAAAATAACCCTCAACGTGTAAAGCTTTCACTCACCTTAGAAAGATCAGCCCAGATTATGTTAAAAACATCATCACTCATTACGGGCCTACCTCCTGGATCATGGCTATATTTATTTCTATATAAACGGATTCTTTCTATGTCGTCACTCTCTGTGATGTCCACTATTCTAGGTTCTTTTCCCCATCCATTTCCTGGGGGAGCAATGTCCGAGAAATTCCTCAACAATTTATACATAATGGTAACGTCCATAGATAAAGATGATACACTAGTGTTGGATCCTCCTTCAAAAAATTATTTAAAAACATCCTTACAGATACAGGTCTAAGATGGATAAAGTAGAAATAATGGTTTTCCGCTTCACTCATTTATTTAAATCATCTAACCGTTAACTTGTCTTGGAAGTTTATCGGGTTTTGAATTTAATTGACAATCATGAGCAAAATTTTAACATTTTTGTGCTCATCAAATACAAAAATAAAATTGTATATCAGTGCTCTTAATCTTTCAGTTTCATAAACATAGATCAAAATGGTTTTCAAATTGTTTAAAAATAAAAATATAATTACATTTTGAACAATATGCGTACATGTACCAATATTATTTTCGCCCCGCTTTATTTTCGCTCTTTCACACGGGCGAACAATTTGCCCTGTTTTAAGAAATTTTACTGTATTCTTTGAATTCACCTCTTTTTTAAATTCGCCCAACCGAGCGTAGGGCGGAAGGGGCCAAAATAAAACCGGGGCAATAAATTCACTGTATACAGTAGTATTTTATATGTCTTTTTGTTACATTGATGGTTTCACTTTTAACACACAAAAAAAAGAAATGTTTTTCTTACTAATTACTGTATTTTATTGAAAGAAAAAAAACATTAACACCAAGCAGAATATTTCTTATAATGGATTCATTTCAACACCTTAATAAAACATGCTCTGTGACAACGCACATTGAAATAATTTTTTCAAAGTGCGTTAAAATTAGGACAAAATCAACGCACTTTGAAAAAAAATTTCAAAGTGCCTTAAATTTGGGACCAGCTCAACGCACTTTGAAAAAAAAAAAGTTCAAAGTGCGTTAAGAGTTTACATCAAGATAATTTACCATAGAGACACTTGGCGCACTTTGAAAAAAATTAAACATATTTTATTAATGGAAAGATCTTATTTGTTATTTAGGCCTTATCTTTCAAAAAAACTTATGAATTGATTTGCTCCCGTAGAAAGGAGGAGAAGACAGGTAGAAGATCCCCAATTTTCTTTTCAAGACCCTTTTCCTTTTATTTTATCGAAACCTGAAATATTTAAAACTTCAATATATCAGGTCCTGAAGTGACTTTATCTTTAAAAAAAATTACCCAGTCAGGGTCAGCTATTTATCATACTTATTATTTGTAAGGATATTGATACAACTTAAGGGGTACCGACCCTCTGATAAGAGAGATAACTTTCAAAGTACAAAGTATGAATACTACTCACAGTTTTCTTAATCAGAGTTCCCTAATTTAGACCTCTGAGTAGTCAATACGATGAAATCTGACATGTGATGACAACATTACTTTCTATTTCTTTTGCCAATCTCAGACTAAATGTTTTATTATATTTAACAATAAAACATTTAAATCCTACTTCAAAAGCATTTTAAATTGAATAAGTTGTATTCTTTAAAAGACTATTTTAATAATAGTTTAATGTTTCAAGTACTTAATACAGAATTTTTATAAGTATGACATTTTTTTTCATATGAAGAAATCTTTAGAAGAAAGATAACTCCTCCTCACAGATGTATTTTTTTCTTACAACCACATACAACATTGTAATTTTCTGACTTAGAAAGCATCGCTTCATGATGTTTTCTTACATGATTTTAATAGGTATTATACTAAGTATTATTTTCATATACAACTCATATTTCAAATTAAATGTTATGATAATAAATCGTTACTGTTTTTGTTCTCTATGTTGAAATTTCTTCATATCATGATCTGACATAAAAATAATTTCTGAAAAAATAAGCTGCGCTTCTTACATCAAACAATTTTCTATGTGGCTCTAATGTTATTGTTGTTCATGAAAATCCAAATTAGAAATATTAAATTTTCTGAGTGAAATTTGATAGCAGAGGGTCGGGACCCCTTAAATTTATTTTTTTTCAGAGTGCGCTAAAATGGTCGATGTTAACACACTTTAAAAAAAATATTGCTTTAGCTTGGTCCTAAATTTAACGCACTTTGACATTTTTTTCAAACTGTGTAATTTTTAAAAGTGCGTTGTAAAAATACTCCAAATCATTATATATTATGTTGTTGTTGCTGAAATTTTATGACTAATTTGGTATTGAAACAATTTTAAGTAATATTCTATCCTTGGGAACAGTAAATAAATAAAGTTTGTTATTGAAACCACTGTTAAGATCTTTACGCGGTATACACTAGGCATCTTTTTGCCCCAGCCAAAGTCATATTTTGAAAATTTCCTAAAAGTTGCTGTAATGCATATAATGAATGAGGAATATAAATTAACAAAAATGTAACAGTTCCAAACTACATTATTGGTAAGTTTTGTTTCTATGACGACACAAACTATTTAGATATTATGTTGTTAAAATGGACACAATTTGTTCAATTTTTACTCTAAAATTAATAGAGAACAGGCCTACTCCTAAACAAGATTTACATATTGCAGTGGTATTACTTTTCTGCAATTTATATCAAAATATTGCACTAGGGCAGGCCTGTGCTCTACGACTTTTACTCAAAATATCGACGCAATATAAACTTTTTTCTGAATAAATCAATAAAATTTAGAATATGCGTCATATCCTGATTTCATGATCTAACATATGTCATCATGATTTTAAAAAAATATACAGTATCTTAATGTCTGTATACATCTCCTTGTTTTATGTAATAATAATTTAATTATATATTTCTCTGTCATAGTTTGATTTGGGTCATTATGTATTTAATTACCAATTATATTCCCTACAATATTTGGTAACATTAAATATATTTAAACTTATACTTTCACATTCTTGTTTTGATATCAAAAGTATTTTTTCTTTTTATTTGTAGACTTTCCAAGTTCATTTTTATATTCAGCATACTTTTTTGCTTACTTTTTTCAAGCACTATTTCAAAATAGTTACTTTCGAATGGAATAATCGCTCTTTCTTCTTAATGTAGGTCATTAGTTAAATACGGAAAAATGTCAATTTTTTTAGGATTAAAATTTTCTTTGGTAGAAAAAGAAGTAATTATTCAGTTAGGGAATAAAGTTATTATTTATTTGAAGTTATTATTTATTTAGGGAATAAAATGCCGTTGTTTAATTAAAAACATTATGAGGTTGATAGTACAGAAATTTTCATATCATAACAAAAATCTTTTTACAGACTTTTATATTTCTTTATGCCATAAGATATATATTTAAAGAAGCATAACATTTATCATTAAAGAAAACTAATCAGTACCTTGCTTTGGGAAGAGAATCTCTAGTTGAGGTGGTTGGAATCGGAACTGTCCTCTTCTTATGTCTGTTTCGTTTTCTTTCAGAGTCTTTTCTAAATCCTCTTTTGGGAAGAATTTATCAAAGCAGATTCTAATTGCATCAGTTCCAACTTGTATCAACTTAAATATCTTGTCAAAATTATCTATTTAACAGAAATATAGCCCAAGTATGTTAAGTAATGACAATATAGTATCAAAATAATTGTCATGATTATTAAATCATTTCAATACTTTCTCCAAGATGTTGAATATAAAAGAAGACAATAAAGGGAATTTACTTAATCTATCAAGACAAGATAACGCATTACCTGCTCCTTATCAATAATTAGTAAAATGTTGTTCTTAAAGCTTACTTTTTTATGTAATTGCTTAAGATTTATTTTATACAGGCATTTTAATTTGTACATAGGATATACAATAAATAAAGGACGGGGTGATGGGTCTGACAAATAATTTAATTTAAATTAATTTATCCGTAGGTCGCCTAATGCATCGCGAAGTTCTATTTTTAGAATTTTGTATTTATTAAAATTTATCGCTCAAACATTAATTAATTAATAAAATTATCCATTACAAACTTTATTAATAAACTTCTTTTTCTAAAAATTAGATATAAAATATCTATTGGAGCTCTGTAATTTTTTAATCAGAATTAACATATGATGTCATTACATTCGTGCATGATTGAAACATTTTCACTAGCAACTTACCCTCACTAATATTATATTATCTGTGCTATGTAAAGTCGAGGATAATGTGAAATGAACAAAGAATTTGATCTGAACATTTAATTGATATACCTTTAGGATGTGAATCACTTGGTCCAGAACTCCCTGACTGTGAACTTTCATCTATACTTTTACCTTCCGAAAGCTCAGCTTCATCGTCATGTACCTTAAATGTTAAAATACTTGTGTATGTAAATATTGACACTAAAACTGGTGTGCTCTTTGTGAATGATCATTCAAGAATAAGTTATCTTATAAACAAAATTTTCTGAATGCAAACGTGAAACGATATAACACAAACACTCGTTTAAATCCCACATTGTATAAATCTTACAATACAAATGATTGTTTCAGTAAAAACAATCAGTGGTTTAGTGAAATGACAAGTTCCATTGTTGAATGCTCTCAACTTGCAGTTCTCGTATTGAAAAACGACATATAAATATATACACTCTGATTTTAAGTAAAATGAAGCAAAACTACATTGATTCAGTATAAAATATAAAAAGAATAAGTGAAAATAGATGTTGCACAATAATATTGTTTTTTTCTCTGAAAGGCTATGATGACTATCTTTATAAAATCAGCCTTTGAAGACTTTTTTATACCTCAACGGGAATTTTAATTCAAACTTTACCCAATTTCTTTATTTTAGGAAATTAAACAACTTATATTTACTCTCTATGAATTTTAAATTGCCTTTCCTTCTTTAATTTCAAATTCATCATATCTACATCATATCTACATGTAACCCTTTTTAACATTTTTTTGTCAAAAATTTAATCCTCTTTTTCTTCGGATTTAAAACTTCCATCGTAACATTTTTTTTATCTTTTTCTTTTTTGAAAAACTTATTCAATAGCTATTTTAAATGATGTACTTTCCAAAAAGTGTCTGAGGTTTAATTGAATTAACTTAAGACTGAAAAGTTCAAATAGCAGTCGTGTAGCCAAAATATAAGCGCAGAACACTCAAAGTATGATCCAGAATATTTAAAATTTGCAGAAACTAAATCTTACAGTAAAACTTAACTCTTTTTTTCTTCTGGAAAAAAACAATTATTAAAATCAAATACCTGGATCCAAAATTTCGTGATATCCTTTGAGTTGATGTTATGCATTCTCCCAATTGGACAGGCAGGGCACTGAAAATTAAGTTTTATAAATTCTGATTGTGGGATCACAGAACTTTCATTGTTATCACAGAATCCCGTAGCTTTGCATTTGAAAGCGTGAGCAAATTTAGAGTCTGCATGAAATGTTTCTGAGAGAATGTTCAGTATATTGTCTATCTTGTGCTTTATTTGTTGACATATAGATTTATCGACTTCTCCTTCAATTACAAACACTTGTGAATGAATTTCTGTTGGTGTCATACCAATCAGAATGTTATGATTCTCAAAACGAAACACAGCTACTGTCTGGTAAATGCATAGTTCATCACGACTTGAATTAAGTTTCCATGGTATTTGGATGCAAATAGCTATCAGGCGCTGGAAAATTCCAGCAGGAAGAGCATCAAACACGTAGCAGAGGATGGATGAGGCAGGGTATGATGAAAAGCATTCCGCAGGAAATGTTTTTTTGTTCATACAGGGGACATACCATTTGTTTTCATCCATTTTAGCCGAGAGACCAAGCTTCTCCATGTAGCGCATGATTTCATCTTTGTGCTCAAGGTACCCATTGTTGTTCATTTCCCATATCGCAGACAGTAATGGGTCACTGAGTTCTCCCGTTTCATTAAATTTATCCCATTGTGAGGCGAGCTTAAATAAATCCTCTGCTGCATGGTTTTTATCGGTGATGACATTTTTGAATGCATCTGCAAACCATTGAACATCAAGTACAATTATTCTACTTAGGAATTCTTGGTTGAAATATAAAATTTCTCTGATGTCATGGAAAAATTGCAGCATGGTGTTAATACCTTCTTGTGTTCCCAACTTTAATTCTATTGGCAATGCTTCATTGAAAGCCAAAAGTGTCTCTTTGCTGATGATTTTAAGGTTTTTCTTTTCCTGGAAGAAGTTTTCAAACATAGTCCAGGAGTGCGGAAGTTTTTCACCCCAGTGATCAAGGTTTTTGACAACATCAACAACTGACAGCTTAATTTTTTCAATGCATTTATTCTCATGGAATCCAACAGCAAACATCCTTTTCCTGTCAATATGTTTTTGCAGAGACCCATCCTTTGTTTCCAAGCTCGTCCATATCTCACGGAAAAACTTTTCTTTTTCCTGGTAAAAAAAATTATTCAGTTAAAAAGTATAAAGCTAGCATACAATGGACTTAGCTGTTCTTGAAAAGCTGTTTTTTTTTTAATTTTACTTTGTAAAAATTTGATCCTCATTTGTGACTCATTTGTGACTTGTGAAATTTGAATCTTCATTACCTTACATTAGGATACCAACATGTAAGCATGATTAAACATAGCCTTTATGTTATTGACATTTTTCTTCTCCAACTTGGAAGAACATTTGGATTAATGTATTGTTCATTAAAATTTTTATCACAAACTGTAGCCCCACCATATCCCCGGGGTACATGATTAGATCAAAAATAAATTTTAAAACGAATATAATTTTTGACTCTGTAAATTTCTGTAAAAGTGAAAAAGCTTTGCTTCACTTGGGAATGCATAAAATATCATTTAGACTCTTGGCAATTGAGAATCCATAAAAAATTAAGAAATATTTTTGTCATGCATTATGACATCATGAATTGCGTCATTTTTGTCATATTCTGAAAAATGCAACAAAAACGGTCAAATTTTAAGGTTCTCTCCAATATTTTCTATAGGGCGCAATTTCAAATCTAAAATATGTCATAATGATAATGATACAAGAGGCCCACGGGCCTTATAGGTCACCTGAGCATTATGCAACAACTTTCCAGTAATTGAATTTGATTAATGTTTTAAGCCAGATGGTATGTGACATTCACAATTTTGAAAGAGGCACCATTGATCATCATAACAATACACTTAGCAGTTGCTTAGCCTTTTTACTGAGCATCGCAGGGTTGGGAACAAAAAAATTTATTCCAACAATCAGTAGTGCCCCTAACACTAAAACCTAATCCCCTGACCCAAAGGTCCACACATTGCACAAATTTTTAAAAGACACCCTAAAAATCAAGAAAATAAATGATTTATAAATACAAAAGAACAGATTTCAAACAATAAATTCATTTTCAGTATATAAGTATAACATCCCACCCCTGACCCTGGGGCCTTGAAATTCACAAGTCTTCAGATAAGGGCCTTTGCTGATAATAACTATAAAGGTAGTTCATCAGCTTTATACCCAAGACAGAGAAGAAAACTTTCAAATATTTAATGTATTTTTACTATATAATCTATAGAGCCCCACCCTAACACCAGAACCCCAGACCCTGGGGCCATAAAATTCACAATTTTGGTTGAGGCACTCTTGCTCATCATAACAATGCACTTAGTTAGTTTATTTAATACCTAGGAGCAGAAAAGAAGATTTTCAAAGTATTCATGTATTTTCACTATACCTAATCAATAGAGCCCCCCCCCCATTTTAACACCAGGACCCTTGACCCTGGGGCCTTAAAATTCATAATTATGGTAGAGGCTCTCTTGCTTACATATGTATCAAAACTATGCACTTAGCTTTCCATATTTAATAAGGGGCAGAGAAGAAGATTTTCAAAATAATCATGTGTTTTCACTATATATAATCAATAGAGCCCCGCCCTAACACCCAACCTGACCCTGGGGCAATAAAATTCACAATTTTGGTAGAAGTACTCTTGCTCATCATAACTATATACTAAGTTGGTTTATTTAATAACCAGGAGCAGAGGAGAATATTTTCAAAGAAATAATGCATTTTCACTATATACTTAATAAGCCCCGCCCTAGCACTAGAACCTCAGACCCCAGGCCCATGAATTTTACAATTTTGGTAGAGGACTCAATGCTGATTACAATCATACAAACAGTTTGACTGCTTGATGTCCAGGAGTTAAAAAGAAGATTTTCAAAGATTGCACTAATTTAGTGGCCATTTGGCCCCACCCCGGGGGCAGGGACAATGAAATTCACAATTTTTGTTCCCATTCACACCATAGAAGCTATATGCTAAATTTGGTCGAAATTGGTTCAGTGGTGTCAGAGAAGAAGCTGAAAATGTTCAAATGTTAACGCTATATAACACTTTGATACGGCCATTGTGAACGACGACGGACAAAAACGGATAGCAATAGGTCACCTGAGTTTAACAGGTGACCTAAAAAGGATGGAACTTTTTTTTTAGGATTATAACACAAGTTTTACAATTTTGGATTAAAGATTCTACTCATATTTTTTTCTTCTCTGAAAGTACTCAAATATACCAGTTTTTCTTAAAATTTAAGAACATTGAATTATCATAGAGCAAGTTTTCAGGAATTTTTTTTAATAGGCCTTGCTTTGGACTAATTTAAATTCCCTTCACCTGTATTTTAGTATAACTTTACAGTATAGTCTGTGCTAAGTTTGGTTGAAATTAGCCCAGTGATAATTGAAAAGAATTTTAAAATATTAAAAGACGACAGACAGCGGACAAATGTGATCAAAAAGTTCCTTCGCTTTTGCAGTTTCGAGAACTAAAAAGCTTTTGCAGTGCTATCAAATACCTCCTTTGTCTTTTTTTCAGCATGAGTGCCCACCAGTATAACAGGAGCCTTTTCACTGCTGTATTGATGAATGGACTTGGTCCAGAATGTTAGATAGTCTGAATAAGATAAAAATCAATATTTACTCAGTAACTTTATTAAGTGTACATGATACACCACCCTGTAAGCCTACATTAAACTTCATGTAATAGTCAATATATATCATGTTTATGGGTGTATTCATCTTCATAAGAAACCAAGATGTGTTTGTGAAACACTATGCGCCCGGGCGGCAACAAAATTCAGAAAAAGCCTTTTTGAGCATTAAGGTCACAGTTAAGGTCACAAGGTCATTGACCTTTGCTTCATTTGAAAGAGCTTGATTAGTGGAGTATGCGTACAAAATCTGAAATCTCAATCTCTCCTAGTTCGAAGTTTATAGTGAGGGTTCAAATACTACTTTTTTGCATGTATATCACAGTCAAGGTCACAAAGTCATTGACCTTTGCTTCATTTGAAAGAGCTTGATTAGTGGAGTATGCGTACAAAATCTGAAATCTCAATCTCTCCTAGTTCGAAGTTTATAGTGAGGGTTCAAATACTACTTTTTTGCATATATATCACAGTCAAGGTCACAAAGTCATTGACCTTGGTATCAATTGAAAGAACCTGAATATCGGAGTATGCATGCTAAATATGAAGTCTCTATCTTTCATGGTTCAAAAGTAATGGCGAAGGTTACAGAAGTTTGCAGAAAAAAAGCTATCTTTAGCATAAACTAGTAGGACACAGTTAAGGTCACAAGGTCATCGATCTTGGTGTCATTTGAAAGAGCTTGATAAGTAAGTATGCATATTAAATATAAGTCTGCATCATTCATGGTTCAAAAGTTATAGTGAAGGTTAAAGTTCGAAACAAATAAACAAACAAACAGAGAGACAGCCATACAAACAGGACAAAAACAATATACGCCCTGGATCTATCGATCCAGGCGCATAAAAAATTATCTTTAACAAGAACTCAATTATACATGTAATAATATCAATAAATTTGCAAATTCCTGAGGCCTAAATCCTGTTAAGTTGAAATTTATAAAACATTATGAAAACCTCTGTAATGAGAAACGAGCATCAGCCTAATTTTGAAATTATTACCTTTGTATAGACTTGACTAAATCCATAGACCACAACAATCATCTTAATCATTTTGAACTGTTGTTATTCCTTATAGCAGTTTTCAAGGTCATTGTATCGACCATAGAACTTTCGAATATATGACTTTAAAAGATACTGCTTGTCAATAATAAAAGTTAAGCAGAAAGATCTTCCATACTTATGGTATCTTGATGCATTTGCTTTGACAGAAATAGAACTACACGTAATAAACATTAATTATGTAATAAAAACATACCTTTGTATGTCCACCCTTCGTAAATTGAACCTTTCTGGCTACAAACTTCTTTTCCAACCTTTTCAAGTAATTTCTTCTTCATATTAAGCACTAGGATGAAGAATGCCCTTGGACTCAAAAAAATCTGATGTGAGGAATAATATGAACACTGTCCCGCAAAGTCTATCATAGTAATTTTTTTCTCTGGATCATCCGATGCATCTTTGGAGACTCGTAAAATTCCTGATATTTCTGATTCTTTAGGAATATTTTGTTGGTCTTCAATCATTCTTTCTTTTTCCAGAAAGGCAGCAGCTTCATTCCCTTTATGTGATTCAGATTCTGTATTCAAGCTCTCATGTGTAATTTCATCATCACTTGACAATTCTTTATCACTTGTTCTACTGACTGTGTCCTTTTGATATCCTTTCTCTTCAATGTTCAACTTTTTCATGTCACCAGATAATTCTGCAGGTTTGTCCTGAATACTCTTTTGTTGGCTTGATTCATCAAGTTTAACTTTAAAACGTTGTTTTTGGCTGGATGAGTTTACTGCAAAACGAAAATAACATTTTGATTTTTCTTTTTTAATCATTCTTTTATTTTTTTTTAAATACAAAGCCTTGCACATCACTAGCTTAGCTGATCCAATCAACTTAAAATTAGATATTAGATCTGCTCACATACTTGCTACACTAACATCTAACAACATCCCATAGAGGGTCACGTGAGAATTTTACTTAAATTGTAGCTGATCCAACTTATTTCATAAAGTTTAGAACTAGTCAGGCACAAAGGTCAGACTCATCTCTCTCTCTTCTCTCACTTTCTCTGTGTGTACATAAACTAAACATTTGTTTAACTTTATAGTAGAACTAGAAATCATTGAGATGGTGGCCATCTCAAAAGGCCCCGCTTTTACCTTACATGAAAATGTATGGTAGCTGAAAAGGGTTTATTTTGAAGGTGTTTGAGATTAAAAGGGACAAAAAGTAACTACTCTTTGAAAAATAATATACAATTAACTAGAAAACTGACCAGTCAGCAAAGGGCCCCGCCATGGGGTAGAATTAAAAGGGTGCAGCTTACGGAATGATTAATAAATGTACAAGAAAAAGCAACAGCAACTGTATTCTAAAATTTCAACATAATTCCTGAATAAAAAGCCTGAAAATAATATTCTTGTATTTACATTAGGCAGTAAAGAACAACTTAACATTGAATTTATATTTAAACAATTATGAATCTTGTGTTATATAAAATCCAGCCTTCAATGAATGCAAATATCATGAAGTGTTGACCTTAACTTCAAACAAACAGCAGTTACAGACAAAGGTTTTCATTAATCTTAAAGTGACAGATAAAGAAAAGCCTACTAAATTTTCTGCAGCAGCTAGATAATTAATCCCAAGGGATTAATTGTACCTCTCTCATCATTTTCTTCTAAAGATATGATAGAATGGGGTTTTTATACAATACATTAAAAATTAAAAACATTCTTAAAATTTAATATATTTTTTTAAAAAAAAGGAAAAAAGTGGGAAAAAAAGTAAATCAAAAAATCTTCTTTAATTTATTTCTTTTTTTAGGATTCAATGAAATCAGAACTATCAAACAAAAATAAATAATAAAAATTTATACTTAAATCCACATTTCACAGTGTTCATAGCATTTCAAATTGATTTAACTTCAAAACAAACTTCATTTGCAGACAGAGGTTGTAATTAATCTCAATGTGACAGATAAAGATAATGCTCTGGATTTTCTTCAGGAGGAAAGCTAATTAATCCCAAGGGACTCCTATAGAATTCAGTTTACAATCATCTTCAGCAGTTATCTCTCTTTGCCAATGCATTCTTATATAAAGTTAAAGAATCTACCCCACCACCCCAGCTCCAAACCATGGGACATAGAGAACCAAACTTAGCATTCAAATATGTATTTCTGCCTACTGAACTACCATACCAAATTTGTAATTGATTGGACAACCATAAAAAAGTTGCCCGTTCATTCTTATGCATAGTTAAGGAATCTACCCCACCACCCCAGCTCCAAACCAGAAGAGATAGAGAACCAAACTTAGCATCATAATATGTATTTTTGCCTACTGAACTACCATACCAACTTTAAACTTGATTGGGCAACCATAAAAAAAGTTATTAGAGAAAAACAGAAAATTTGTGGAGCGGAAAAGTGACAACGGAGCAGACAGACAAGAAGACGACGGACGGACGGAGCAGACGGACAGACAGAGTGATTCTTTATAGGGCACCCGCAAATCCTTGCGGGGCCCTAATAAAACGTTCAGAAATGTATCCTTATGGATACTATTTGTTGCATGTCCTACTATCATAATATGGAAGGAAAATCACATACAGTACCCGCATCGTTATTCTTACAATTCTATCGTGTTCTATCGTGCGTGTATCCTATCGTATCGTGCGTGTATCCTATCGTATCGTGCGTGTATCCTATTGTCACAGATGAAAATGTACCATGGACATTTTGACAATTACTTTGGATATTTTAATTCATAATTCTCAAATCTATTTTTTTATTTAATATTGAGTTGTCATACTTTGTTTCGATATTGTGTCAAATTTATCTATTTTGAAATATTTAATTACCTTAATTAGCCATGAGTGATACAACCAGATGGACCGTGCTTTGTGTGACTTAATTATTGTTTATTTAAAATCATAATCTTTTACTCTACTTGTAAATCAAATTAACTCATGTCATATGTTACTCAAACTTATCAATTATCAATCTTGGCTATAAATACAAACTTTTGTTAACATTCGGAAGAGTTGGAATCGGGACTCGCTTGTCCTTGATACTGTCCGACCCGACGAGAAATAAAGGTCTGTAAATCGTAAAGCGGCTTCATCTTCATTTACTTAATAATCCACCCTAGTGGCTTTACTGACAAGCCCACGCATCTTACGCGAGGGTGTGATAAGTGGTGCAGATAACCGGGTACGACCCCCTCTCACAACCAAGCGAGTTCTACCACTGATTCCCCTTACTTCTACAAGAATTCCCTTAATTCATCTTAAGACTCATCTTGAATTTCGTACACGCCGCTATGAATCGCAGCCTTGGACCACAACGGAAACCTATGGATTACTCCTTTCAGCGTCAATTACCAGTTTGTGGCCGATGCAGATACGTCCATGGACCCAGTTGCCGTGCTCAAATGGAGAAGTGTTACAGATGTAAGCGTCATGGTCACTATGCTAGATGTGTATAACTGTCCTCTCTTCGCCTGTGAGGATGACCATGATAGCAAATACTAGTGCACCAATCCAAGAGCAACGTTCCTGTAGACGACAGTCCAGAGACAAAGTTCGTATGGAAAAATACCTTCAAAGCAAATCTCATCTCCGCGAACTGCCTTTTTACAATCTAAGGAATACAGCATTCCAGGACACCCTTAACATCCATCAAGGACTTAAAACGGAAAATCAACAGTTACGTGTCAAAGTGAAAGAAATGGAAATAATGCATGCTGAAGCTGTAAACGTGATAATTAACCTGGAAGAAAAATTTAATATACTTTCAACGATACAGCCATCTGAATCTCACCCATCGGTCTGCAATACCGCCGAAGATAAACACATAATTTCAAAGTTGCAACAAAAAGTTCAGACTCTACGACTTGAAAAGTCATCTCACAATCAGTTAATACATTCAATTAGTGCTAACGTTGAAGAAGAATGGAAAGAAAACAAAGCAAGACTTACAAGAAAAGGACAACACCATTCTAAACCTGAAAACGGAAAATATTAAACTCTTGAACAACCAGGAATTTTATTTACAACGGATACGTGAACTAGAAAATGAGTCCTATAATCGTTCCATCAAAATCCCAAATTACGGAAAAAACCTGCAAAATATTCATTTCGGACACCAAATTTATACAAGTGAACAAACCTCTAGTGTACATGTGCCTATTCAAAACACGAGGCCGTGTTTTACTGGGGCAAGGGGGTATTGACCTAATTATTGTTTATTTAAAATCATAATCTTTAACTCTACTTGTAAATCAAATTAACTCATGTCATATGTTACTCAAACTTATCAATTATCAATCTAGTCTATAAATACAAATTTTTGTTAACATTCGGGGAGTTGGAATCGGGACGCGCTTGTCCTTGATATTGTCCGACCCACGAGAAATAAAGGTCTGCAAATCGTAAAGCGGCTTTATCTTCATTCACTCAATTAGTCCCCACCCTAGTGGCTTTACTGACAAGCCCACGCATATTTAATGAGAGGGTGTGATACTATCGTATCCTATCGTATCGTGTTATCCGTTTATCAGGTTTTGCGTTTTCTATCGTGTTTTCCGTTTCTCGTGTTTTGCGTTTTATCGTGTATATTCGGAAACCCTCGCTTTTTATCTTTACTATGTAAAGAGACTACTGAGCTAGTCCGAGTTTCTTTTTCGTTTTTTGTAATAAAAAATAAGATTAATTCAACCGAAAAAGAAAATAAAGATTTATCCCTTTCTTTTTTCATTAATATAAGAAATATTTAAGCGTAGACGGAAAAAATAATTAATCGCTTATGTCATGAATGAATAAATTGATTTATTAATAAATAATTTATTAAATAAACAAAATAATTATATCATTGTAAAGCAGAGAGTAATTGTAAAAATTTAAACAGTAACTCTATTTTTCGGAAATGAAATTATAAGTAGATGGATCAACTGGTCTATTTCTTTAAAAAATAATATATCGAATTGTATGATTTATTTTGTCTAAATTAAATGCTATTAATATGATTTTCTCAAATGAATCGGAGTTACCAGAGAAAGATTTTTGGTAAACTGCGATGTTTGCGTAGACAAAAAGCAAATCGATAAATAATAAGCAGAATATTGTAATGTATCTTTTTTTCATGTAATATTCTGTTTTTTAGGCTTGTTTATCGTCTGACGATAAGGTCAGAAATATGACCTGTATGTATGCACAATTATTTTTTCAAATATAATATAACATAAGACAATGATCCAAATGATTTTAACAACGATTTTGGCCGTATACGTTCAAATTTTAAATTTATTTTTTAAGCTAATTAAAAATTCCTTGACATATGTCTAAATTAATATAAGAAATCAAAATTATTAAATATAATCAAAGAAATAATCTACGCAATTTATCACACTATGGCTGTTACTATAAAATAGAAGATTTTCATTAATTCTATCAGGCATTAGATAAAATAAACATAATATATACATGTACAAGGGAAAACATGAAGTTTTTTAACAACTTACCTTTTCGGCGCGGAAATAAACTCAAAATATAATCCATCGGGATGCCAAATATCAAAATAAATCGAAGACCTTTAAATTCTTTGAAGAAAACTGACACTTATGTGTAGCTCTCTAAAATTTGCACACTGTCTCCCCGTGCGGTCAACCGCCCTCTCCCCCTTCTCCCCCAAATGACACCTCGACCCGGGGTGTGTGATCCCCTTCAACAAACCTGTACTAATTTCTCATCTGGGGTCAATCAGTAACCTCGAATACAACCTGGTTCTAATGAAACGCATCTACATGTACTTATTTTTGGGATTTTGTTCATAACTTGTTTGAACAATTTTATCAAAGATTTAATTCAAAATACATTAAATAATTGTACGATTTATGGATTAAAAAATCATCTTGGATGATAAAAAAAATTTAAATACATGAGTAAA